TTCGTTATTAAGTCAAAGTGATGAGCAAACGCGGCAGAAGGTGATAGCGCGGCGCGCGTTTAATTAAAAGCGTTTGACCGTGTAGGACGTTTTGCGAAAGTTACGAAGGAACGCGCTCGCGTCAATGAGGACCTTTCACTCGGTTTAGCGAAGCGGACGAAAAAAAAAAAATCTTTTCATCGATTTGTTTCGCGCGTAGGCAACGGCGCGTTACCGCCAGTGAATCGAAACAAATCAGATTTACAACAATTACTCTATCGTTTTTTTATTTTATATATTTAATACGCATCTATATACGAAACGTTTCTCTCTCGCCACCCTGTTCAGGGGCGCATATCCTGCTCTTAAATTGTCCGGTTTATCGGTACAAGGAAATTCACTTCGGGGTAATTTCACGGAATATCGAGATTTGCGAAAACTATCGAAACGCTGTTCGGGCGCAGATCGGTGAAAAAAAAATCATAGATACAGGAACTCATTCTGCTACGTGCTCTTTCACGAGAGAGAGAGAGAGAGAGAGAACCAGTTCTCGAGCGAACTTTCCGGTTTTTTAGTCGTCGAACGGTCTGAAAAATTCTGCGTACGCAGCACACACCGGCGACCGTCTATGCTCAGAATTGTAGGAATTTCAATATACCTTAACAGCCGAATAACTCGCGCAAATAATTCGAACGTTTTCATACTCGAATTGTACTTACGCTTAACATCGCGTAATCACCCGCGGCGAATAACGGTTTGGTTTTCAACCTCCGATATGTGTACCGATATTTGCGCGCGTTTCCGTTGGCGGTGTGTGCGCAACTTTAATTAGCATTTCGCGCAAACTAAACGACGCGAATTGCGCGCACGCCCGCGCACGCGATAATTCATATATTATACAATATGTACGAACAATTCGAATCGAACGCTATAATGAAAACGTTATAAAGCAATTATCCTTTATGTTTATATAGCAGTTAGAGAATGTTATGTTTTTCTGCGTTTACGAATAAATGAGATATGTCGCGGATATGTGAATAAATAACGTTGAATTTTTCAACAGTGCGCTTTTTTGTTATTACTCGTATTTAGAGATGGAAACTCCGTGTTATCATCAATATTATATACGCAAAATACTGTTTAATATTCGATCCCCCCCCCGATTTCTCACGAGCACAAATCTCTCTAGGGGTTAAATCGAAAAAATTCCGGCAAAAAGTAAGGAGTAAATTTTTCAAGGCGCAAACGTGGTGAAAGTGCAATTAGCGAAGGAAAAGAAATTGTTTTTACAAAAACATTAATCGTTGCGTCGAAGATATTTCAAGGTTATCGCGTTACAGAGCAATGTTCGAGTTTACAATTTCAAACAGTTCGAAGGGAACTTCTCTCATAAACAAAACGACGTAGTATCTACATATATATTGCCGTACCTACTAGTGAAAACAATTAAGAAACTTACCATTGTATCAAATTTCTTCTTTCCGCTTCTTTTCTCTCGACGAGACGCAAACTGTTGTTTATTAGACCGCGTTATATTCGTCAATTAGAGAGATCCGTTTTTTTCCACAGATAGGTTGGAGAAAGAGAAAGAGAGAGAGAGAGAGAGAGAGAGAGGGAGAGAAAAGTCGGTTTTCCTCGCGAGACGAGAACGGAAAAATTTCTGAATGAATTCCGTAAAGGAGGCTACGCTGTCGACAAACTGCCGGCAACGAGACTATCCGTTAAACTCAGTTTGTAACTTTATAGAATGCTGTTGACGTGATACACCGTTTCGCAATCTCTGAAAGGGTTTCAGAAGACGCTATTATTTCGCGATGAATAGTTTTCACGACTGGTGAGAAAAGAGACCATTTTTTGTGAATGAAAATAATCTCCTCGCACCGCAAAGACTCAGCTGTTTCGGAATAATGATATCACTGTGTCGTTCTCTTTCATCCTCCATTCCACTTTACTCGTCCTCAATCTTAACGATAAATCTTAACGATAATTTTATGTGACTTTAAAATATCGCGACGTTTTTTTTTTTTTTTTTCTGTTCAACACACGCATTAGTTGTAACTCAGCGATTAAACCGCGGATTAAAACTTCAATGAAAGCTATCTTTTTTTTTTTTTGATATTACGTTGAATGACAAAGTTCGCGTCGCTTCCTTTCAGAAGTTTAATTCGCAAAATTGCTTTTCTTTTGCCTCTCGAGAGGGAGCATTAGTACGTTGACAGTTTAAGAAAGAAAAATTGAATTCGTGCCTCAGAAACCTGTCGGTGTGAGATCGAGATTTTCAATGTGTACGCGCGGGAAGAATGAAGATAACAATATCGACGCGCGCGACAACAATTGATAAGTGTTTTTTTTTTTTTTTTTTAACCCTGGAATATAGAAACACGCGAATTAAACACCGATTAAAGATGACGCGATCAATGACGCGGCCTCTTGTTGTCGCTTTTTTTTGCGGTGAGATCGGAATATCGGAGTCCGTTAATAACTCAACCAAGATGTGACGACAGCTAAGAGTGGCTATTTCCTCGAAGAGAAGAGTAGAAAAGAGCGCGTCGTCGTAGAGCGGGAAACAAGCTGCGCCGCAATAAACCGAGGGGGGTGAAGTCGATCTTGAAAGTCGATTATTCGCTTCTTGCCCCGGAGAGAAGAGAAAATATAGGCGGTCGCGAGAGAGGGAGGCTCATCTTAATCCGATTAAATACGTCATTCTTGACTGCTCTTCCCCATAATAGGTCTGCCGTATCCATCGCGAGGGGAAGAAACAACGTGGAGTTGGCGCGCGTTATCGATTCGCGAATCGATAATAAACGCGTTCCTTCGCGCAACGATAAAAAACTTATATATATATATGTATATATTTATTATCTTCCCGAGTATCGATCGCGCGCGAATCGTCGCCGACGACAATTGCCCCCGTCTTCGCGAGGGCACGTAACAAGTCGATGACCGTGATAAAAAAAAAAGAAAAAAAAAATTAATATCGCACTTTCTTCGCGAGGAATGAGGTGGATTACCGTATCACGCGGCGCGTCGATAAGCCGGCAGATAGAAAAGATGGGGTCAAGAGACGTTTTAATAGAGAGCGTCGATCTCTCGCGGCCCCTTGACGTAAAAGAATCGTAAATTGCGACGGTGAGCGCGGTGAGCGAAACTTGATCGCACACAACTAGGAAAAATTTATCGCAATTGATCGGAATTTACGACCTATATAGTCGCGGGCAAGCGACTAGTCTTCATTGCTCATCTCTCGTAAATATAATATTATATCGACGAAATCGGGAACGGAATTGTTGTTTTTTTTTTTTCTTCGCTTTTTTGTTTTTCATATCATCGCGCGAATACGCACATTATATGTATGCGTAAGTATTAATTGATTTGTAAACAAAAATTAGATTTTCGCAAAATACGAGAGAAAATGGAGCGACGACAGCTTTTGTCGCACATATCACCGAAAACCATTCTTGACTAATTCTCACTCGGAAGCACATGCACAGAGAATCTGTACAACGCACTTCCTCTCTGCACAGACTTCGCCATACATAATTCCATTCGTGCGCCCGTCAAATCGCAGAGATTGCATTAGCCCCGAAGACTGCACTCCGTGTACATTAAAAATATTATCATCCTCTCTCTCTCTCTCTCTCTCTCTCTCTCTCTTTTGTATATCCTATTAACTTCTGTTTTCGCGTTATAAACGCGAATTTGCGTGCGCAAAAACACGGTCGTTGCAAAAATAAAAAATTGTCTTCTCGCACATCAGTCGCGCATACGAGTGAAAAATATCTTCTTTTTTTTTTTTTTTTTTTTTTCCACTTAAAGCAAGTCGCCTTCAGGCGCAACAATTAAAGGTAAGCTGCTTTCTTGAAATTAAGCTTTAAAATTTAATCGATGACGCTCTTTGCTCGCAACTTTTACTTTCGCAAATTAATCGATCGAAAACGCGAAAGTTAAAATCAGAACGAACTTTCCGAACGCTCGCGTCACGAAGAAATGCGAATTAATCGATTGCGATCTCGTGACGCGAACCTCCAATAATTAACTGCAACAGCTTCGGCAAACAATATTACGATCGACTAGTCGACTTAAAAGTATAATTTTCTCTTTGCTACGGCGAACGTTGAAAGATATCCAATATTTGTAATAACTTGATCTTCGATGAATCTCTTCTCGCGTAGAAAAAAGTGCCGCGGATTTCAGTCAATTTTTGTTTAATACATCGATGTTGAGATATTAAATGTTTGTTTTTTAAATAACGAACGACGGCTCGAATAATTCCCGAACATATACATAAATGAAAGAAAACATCAAATTTTTTAAAGACACAAACGTGAATGTATAAATGCGTTATAGTATCGGATTACAAATTGCGCGCATCTTTTAAGTAAAATGTTATTTCTATCGAGTTCAACTTTTTAAATCGCAAGATATTTTTCGGATGCGCGTTTCAGAATTTTTATTTCGAATTTCGATAAAACGTCCCGCCCGAAAAGTGGGAAAATTCAGATTCGACTCCTAAATTATTCTCGAACTTATCTTTTCTCCCAACTTTTTTATCTCGTACAACAATCGAAAGCAGCTGTTGTGAATTAGTTTTTTTGACATTAATACGCAGTCACAATGCTCCGCAACATACGCGCAACATGTTGTAAGGGACGTACTTTAACTGCAATTGCATAAGTAGTAGCCTTATTTCTTCATTCTATTTATGGGACGCCTGCTTTTGACACAACGGAGTTATCGCGGAGTTAACTACCTTATATGGAAATTCTTTGCACGCGCACGCGTTCTCCAACAATGTCATTCTTTAACGAATAAAAATCATTTTCATGCGAACTGGAAAATAAATTTTGTCAGGCAGCATGCGATTTGTATATTTTGTAGATTTTTTTTACAAGAATTACCGCGTTTTCTTCTTCTCCAATTTCAAAAATCTCCAACGATTGTGACTGTCGATTCTGTTGTAAAGTTCGAAAAATGTGAGAAAATACATCCGCGTGATCAGAAGAATGAAAAATAAAACTCACCGTGTGTGTGTGTGTGAAGAAGCGCAGGATTGCTCGAGCCTGGATATTTCTTTTAAATATAATAAGTCGAAACAATTGCGACAAGAGCGCGAAAACACGAACCGGACCGATCCGATGACGGAGGCGGCACTGAGCGTGTCGGACGAGCGCTTGACACTGACTACTGTGAGTAGGCCCGAGTTACTCTCGAGGAGTCTGCGCGGCGTCGTCTATCACTTCTTCCCTCCGCCTACGGATTTTATAAAATCGCTGTACTTCCCCATCTCCTCTGGGCTTCTCTTCTTTCTGTGCGTTTCATTCTTTTCTGGTAAATACTAAGTATTTCGCAAGAAAAAACATTTCGTCTGAAAGTAAAATTTTTCAGGCAAACTCTGAATCCGATCCGAAATATCTCGAGATCGAAAATATCCTTAATATTCCTTACGAAAACTTTTTTGAAATATACATTAGAGGCTAAACTACCTTAATTTGATTCTTCAAATCTTTCAAATTTTGAAAAATTATACGATAAAACAAATGAGAAAATACGGAGATGATTTTTTGTTCTTTCAATTTTTATATCGAATTTTATTTTACATGTAGGTAATTTATTGTATTGTAAATGCGCGTAATCGCGCGATACAAAGCGTTTCGAGAATTTCCCAAAAACACACACGTGACTCTTTCCTGCGACTTAGTCACGACTGACGCTTTGCACAAGCTCATAGTCCAATCTTCACCAACGCGAATATTAATATTTCCGGATGGACAGCTTTCTCTCAACGCGATTATCACTTCTCGCTGCGGATTTTAGATTCTGTGTCGAAGCGCTGCTCGTCGGAAGACTTGTAAGTCGTCGTTCAAAGCGAAACTTTCCGAACGAAAGTTTCCTTCCGCTGACAATCAAACAGCTACTTGTATAACTGGCAGGAAATAGGTTGCGCACACAAATACACACAACATGTATATAGACGTGTTCAATAGAATATATATACGTACACGTGTGTGCGTGCGTGCGTGTGTATGTGTGCGATGTGTTCTTCTCTTAACAGCAACATATTCGATAGAAAGTTTTTGTCGTACACGTTCAAACGGTGTGAAAGAATAAATATCGTACAGTCCGCGCAGATAATTTTTCTTTATTTTTTGAAAAACAAGAAAAACGTTTTTTTTTATAAAATCGTCATTTTTGCTTAGTTTGTTGTGATGATTAATAATATTCTATTAAATTTCTTCTTTTGTAAATATAAGTTTCAGCACAGCAATATAGATTGCCATAAAAATATATTAATAAAAAACTATATATATTGTCAAATAATGGGAAAAAAATTTTTTATGACAATTCTTCAAGTCTTCGCAAAATATTTTTTCTATGAAAAATTCACTACACACGATTCTAACGACTCACCAAAATCAATATTTAATAATCGTGTTGGTGTAAAATCGACGATAACGCGCGAGTGCTTCTTCTTTCTTGCGGTGCGCGGCGGTTTACTTACATAATGGTTTGCAGCACACACACACTATGGCAGTTTGCAACTTTGTTAATGACGTTGTTGTAGCAGTCTTTGTTCGATGGTTTCGCGAAACAAACCGGTGCTGTTTGCCGTATACGCAGTCCCGGGGAATCATTTATCGCAAAAATTATATGATAAAAATCAGCAAAGAGACTTTTTATTGTATAAAAATGTCACATCCGAAACGGGTCGACCTTACGCGCGATATCGCGAAGTAATATCGTTGAAATAACACACAAATGTTTCTTTTAGTCTCTATCATCGTTTATTGTATAAATATATCACCAAATAATATTATATATGTAGTAAGAGATTGCGTTTACGTAACGCGCGAGAAAGAATGCGATAGAGAGATCGAACGGGAAAAGTTTTCATAAAGGATGAGGAAGATGTGAGACAGAGAGAAAACAAAGAGGGGAGAGAGCGCGGTGTGTGTGTGTGTGTGAGGAGAAACTTAAAAAAAATATAATCTAACCGGTATTGCTGTACCAAGAAGTTTTCATGACGCAAGCAAGAAAAGCCATATATTCTCTCCTGGCAGAAGCAACAAAGTAAATAGCAAACCACCCGCTACATTTCTTCTCCCGCGGATCGAATGAGAAGATAAAGTAGGTCGTCAGTTCGATCCGGAGAGAAAGAGAGAGAGATAGAGAGTTTCTCTCTCGGCACGAGTGCATTTGCTCTTTTACATAATATAGTAAAAATATATCTCTTCGATATTTCTAGGAAACTTTATCCATCAGCAGCGATGTCATTATGATCATTATAATAATAATCATCATCATCTATCGTCATCATCATCATCATTATCATCGTGTTATCATCATCAATATTCTTATTGATATTAACTTCAATTTAACTTACGTATCACTAGAACAATGGAAAATTGTAAACGCACCTTTTCTTTATGTTGCATTATTATTACTCCGAACGGCTCGAGGTCGCAGCTTTAAAACGAAGCGCGCGTGGTGATCACACATACATTCGCCAAACAAGAGTAAAAGTTAACAGTCGTAAGCAAGAGTGCAATCGCACATTCTCAATAATAACATTTTATACCGCAAATTTTAATAACGTTATACCGTAACTGTTCTGTTTCGCGTTACCGCGTTTGAACATCGAAACGTAAAAACAAATTGGTTGGTGGAAACAAATTTCGTCGTAGAGCCGCGCTCTCGAGCGTCAAACGGAAAATAGTTAGCTCTCTAACTGTTGAATCCACAGGTAAGGGAAGGCCTTGTATATTTTGATTTTTCAGTCGCACGCCCGTGCTTTCTAACAACAAGTAAAAAATTTCAACATCGGGCGTTAACACAATTATTCTCGATCGAATCGCATCGTCTTATTATGCGCTTATTATGCTTAGTGAAACGACGATTAACCTACGCTGTTTTCTCACACGAGTGCTAATTAAAATCTTCTCGCGCGACCTTTTTTTGCAGAATTGTAAACGTTTCTTTGGCGAAATCAATCGCGCCCCCGAGGCAAAAAAAAAAAAAAAAAACAAAAAAAGGAACTTTCCCTCACCCGAAGGACTCGGGCAAAACCCTGAAATTATTATTTACAATATATCGCGCGTCCTCTACTTTCGTTTTTCTACTTGTCGCTTAACTTTCTTCGTTTTATTATGGCAAGCACGAAATTACTCGTTGTTCGCGAACTTTCGTAATCCAACCGAAAGAACAAGATAAGAAAGAAAAAAAAAATAAACAAAAAAAAGAAAAGAAAAATAAATGTCTCCGCGTGATTGTTACACGTGAGTTTGAGATGTCAGTTTGCGCTTTGATCGCGCGTTCGACGCCAATGTAATTTTCTATGTTGTTGTTGTTCGATTAATGTAATACAAAGATCGCGTGTGATATAAAGACGAAATTACTGTCAATCATCAGTCACATTTGGCATCAAACGCGCGATTGAGAAATCGCATATTTCCGTTTTCTCGCTCTCGAGAAGAAAGTTTCAATCCGTGCGGAGAGAAGACCACCACATTTTAACGCGATGAAAAGCGACGATTGCGTACAACTAATGACATCGTATAACAAGAAACTTGAAGTCAATCGTTGCTCTCATAATGTGTGTAATATAAGTATCTATCAAAAAAAAAAAGAAAATTCAACAATGCCAGTTTGCTCAGCGCATACAGGCGTTTTTTTTTGTTTTTTGTTTTACAACTGAGAGATTGTGCGCTGCACTCGTATGTATAGTAATACGTAAAATTTTCACTTTCAGTACGTTCTAAAAATATCTATATATAAAAAATGTATAATAAATAGGAGAAAGAGATGTTTTTTTTTTTTAATACATATATCCTTACTTGTGCACGATCCTGTATGGATTATTTTCTTAGTTTTTGTTTTGTTTCTACCGTTTCTCTCTTCTTTTCTAGAAAAATCTTTCAACTTGGTTGTTGTGTCGATTAGTGAATCTCCCGCGTTTCGGCGTATATTGAGAAACTTTGTTCGAAAAAATTGCGTCTCGAAATCACCCTTTTATTTCTCTAGCATTTCGTTTTCTCTGATTTCGTGACAATATAGGGAGATATTGTGAATATTACAAATCGATAATAAACGTTTAAATGTATTTGATTTTTGCGTTGTGTGCAGCTCTCGCGAGACGTCTTTTGTTGCGAACAAAGACCAGAGAACGCTGATTATATGATCGTTTCTCGATTATATTCAATGACTCGATCTTACGACTTCCTTCCCAGACTTTTCTCGTCAATCACAGATAATTGCGTGCCGAACAAAAGCTGTAATTATACACGCCGACTTCTGCAATTTGCTCGTTAATCGTAAAATATCGAACAATCCGTTTTTTTTGTTTTTTTTTTTTTGAAAACACACTTCTATGGACGCTGATGTAAACGCTCGCGAGACTTTTGAAGGCTTAAAAACTCTACGGCGATGTCGCGAGTCTTTCTCCAAAGACTCTGCTCTAAATTCGAGTAACTTGATTTAACATTCTTTGATTTGATCATCCTCTGCTTCACACGTACGCATCTCGTCATTGATTTGACACATTGTGAACTTCGCCGCGAAGATTTTGCGCAAACGATCTTCCGTGTGCAAACGCCTGATCGAATCTTCAGCTTTCCCGAAGTTAGTATCGCATCGGTTGCCAGAAACCTGTGGTCTCGTCCCGGCGGTAGTAATGAGGTTTGTTATCTCGGAAGACGGTGACGGCCGGAAATTGATTGTCCTGAATGTACTTAAGCGTCGCTCGCACCTGAAACAATATTTCAATAGTTGGTAGTGTTTTTTTTTTTCAACTTTCCTCATATTGTAAACTACAATTATTAGTATACATTATTAATCATTACCTGTGCTACGAAATGCGGTTGTTCAACTTCCGGGGACGTTGACAAGTGCTGTAGAATAAATTGATCGGACTGCGCCAGCCAGAGATCCACACCTCGAAGAGGATCATAATTGAACGGACCGATTCTCAATAATCCTAGAGTGTAGTCGTATATATCCAAAACCTGTGCGCGCACAATGAAAACATTCACGAAAGACTATATATATACAATATGAAATTCGACGCTTAATCAAAATAATATCATGTATAGTACATGTGGGAAGAGAATATAAACTATGTAAAACTAATTGATTTATTTACATAGCAAATTATGACGTGGCTCGATTAAATTAATCACCAGTTCACCTTCGGCGAATACGAAAGAATATTGCGAATGTAAATATTCCGTATACACGCACCTGCTGACCTCCGGTCAATTGTCTAGCGCACCTCAATGCCTGATCCGGGCCTTTGTCGGGAAAACTCGCAGGAAAGATCTCGCCCGTCTTCACATTCAGACCGATACCGTAGATCACCGGCCAATGAATCCCGCCTCTCACAGTGGTATTTAATTCGCCCACGCAGCACAACGTCAGGTCGATCTCTACCGGTTGCTTGTGAAACGCGGCTGGAAGATGATCGACCCGTTTAAACGTCGACGCGAAATATAAATTTCCGTTATAATTTAAAGCGATTGTTTTTATCATCGACTTTAGTTTTTTGTTTATTTCTGATTGGCGCAGAAATAAATTTTTATGCGCGCAATTTTACTTATGTGATTGGGAAACAAGTTCGATTTATTTATTGGACACATTTAATATTGAGAGTAAGTAAATTTGTTCGAGAAATTTTGTTGCGACATGAAGTCTTTATCTCTGGTTTTATCTCGAGCGCAAAGCGAGCAAATCATTTTAATTGCGTCATATCCGCGTCAAGCCAAAGACGTTTCTTCTCGAAAAAAACAAATTCTACGTGACATTGACGAACTAAATAACAGCGATATTGTAGCAAAAATACATATTTTGTTTACACGCACAAAGTATATTGTAGAATAATTCCTCGGAATAGTTTCTCGGATCGGAGTAACCGCCAACGAGTTGTAGCTCTAAGCGGCCTTCCACGGCGGGATATCCAATGGAGAGTTCCGTTACCCTTCGGATCATCGACGCAGCGGCGTCCTCTGTTCCAGAACCGTCAAGATGCGCCAGTGCTACAGCGCCTGAACCTGTAATCCAAATAAAGTAAAGAGATAACAATCGGAATTTGTCTTTGATCTCACGAATCATCAAAGAGATGATTCGAGTATTTGTTACTTCATCAAAAATATAGAGAACATTTATTTATTTGAAAAATTAAATCTCGGCTGAAACAATCAGATTAATCAAATATTTGTTCGTAAAATAATTGTTTATAATTTTGAAGTATAAAAACAATAAATATCACAGTGTAGAAACATATTAAAATAAAATGCAAATTTTACCGAGAGATCCTTCAAGCAGAGCCAATATAAGTTTTATGTCAGTGTTGAAAAATCAGTCGAGAAAAGTTTCAAAGTACCTCAATGAAAATGATCGTCAAAGCTATTATGTCTCCTTTTGTGATCGTTACACCTCGCCTCTTTCGGAAAGAATATAATATCGTCGGTTAAAAGGAAAATTAATTTTCAAACGTTTGAACGCCGCTACCGGGGCCGACTCGCTAATTACCGCGGCATGCTCATTATCGCGAGCGAGCGTCGAGAGGCCTTTCTCGCTGTTTATTGCATCGAGCGAACGAAAACGACCGAAGACGCGCGCTCACGTCGCTTGCACAGCGATCTGCTCGAAAACGATTCCGCGCAGAATCGCGCGTGTCCGACGCGATTTATCGCCGCGCGTTTTGACGATAAGAACGGAATGCAACAGAAAATAGCAGTTAGAGCGAACTCTCACCGAGAGATGTACAGTTTCAGACGTACACATTATTTATATTACATAAACATTTGTGTATATATTCTTTTTGCATATTTTAATTTTTTATATTATTATATATTGATGTAATTACATTAATGTAACAACGCGTTAATGTAATTAATTAGAATGTAATCGAATCTCTGAGAGAGTAGCAAGTTCTGGATTTCGACGTGAAAAAAATCTCGGCGCGAGATAAAAGCGCACTTTTTGTACATTCGCCAACTGTCGCTTGTAATTACGTACTTTCGACGTCGTACTTTCTACAACACGGCACGTTATTCACGCGCAACCTTAAAGACGGATCGGAGACACCCAGCTTCGCGTCGCGATCCGGTGTCGCCGTTGGCCTGGCCAAGGAGAAAGCTAAGGAGAAGCCGAGCGTATCTCGGGATAGTTTTGTTGAGATATACACGACGCGTTGTGTACGGCACAACACACGATGGGCTCTCGTTCGTGCGAGATGAAATACGTTATTGTTCAGAAAAGTAACATTTATGAAGCCCCGTGTGATTTATATCTGTTATAAATAGTTATAAATGTCGTGCAGAAAACATATGTGCTTGTTACGTGAGGAGACGCACACACGAGACATTTTCGTACATTTTTTTCACGTTCTCGCGCGGGGTCGCGCGTTTATTTTTCTCTTCGCGCGACTAAAAAAATTCCTTACGTTACACTTTTGAAGAGAAATAATGTTATTTTTTTTTTTTCTACGTGTGTGTGATGAGAATAATAAACATTATTACGCACTTTGCTCCGGTGGTGGACAGTAATATTTTATACAGAGAATTGCGCATGAAAGATGGATTTTTCTAAGTCGCGCGAGATAAATCGCAATTATATTTCTTCGAAGCTGTTTCAGCTTGTGATAATCTATCGTAAGAGATTAGCGTTTAAATAACCATGTAAATATGAATTGTGGAATTTTTTCCTCAAGCGGCAAAACCGAAGCAGCAAAACGATCATCTTTACAGCCTTCGAGAAAGGTTTTTAGTCTTTTGAAAATAGTTTTTTGTTTCGAAATTGTGCAGTTAAAAATTAATGACCATCTTATGTTACATTTTATTAACTACAATTTAAAGGTTTTCCCGGTGACGTAAGACCGATCGTTAGTTTTTGTTTGTCGTGACGTTATTCCGATCTTTATTTTTTTTTTTGTTTTTAACGATCGTATCGCAGAGCCATTTACATGCGACCGTTTAAATGTAACTATTTTATAACGATTGTACGTTCAAACATATACTCACCAGAATGCCTGACGACGACGATTATGCACGTGGTCATGTCGTCCGAACCGAGAATGCTTACGTTTTCTGTGAAAGGGAAAAAGAATACACGTACACAATTAGTGCAGTAGCAAACATCGAGCTCCGAAAAGACCGTGTAGATTGTTAGAACTGTTTGCCGTTGCAATCGTAACTTTCCTCGATTATATAAAATATAAATTAGTTTTGCATTGCTTAAAAAAACATATGTATCTCTTTATCTCTCTATTAATTATTAATAAAATTTCTTAGATACGTACACACGCGAGGAACGCGATTTTTCGTGCTCGCGAGAAGATTGTGGAATCGAAGCAATAAATCATCTTTCGCATATTTTTAATATAAAATTCCGAAACGAGTAACGTTTGCTTTTTATGTAACGTTCTGAAAAAAAAAAACGGCCGATAGAGATTAAATATGTTGAAAAACAAAAAAAACACTGCAAATTTCTCTTTCCTTCTTTTTCTCTCTTGCAAAACATTACCAGATTCATCCAGATTGAACGGATCAACACGGTGAAAAGAAGATAAAAACTTCGATGAAGTGTTTATCGTACAGCTTTATTGACAAATCGCGTCTCTCGTTATTTTTAAATTGTAACCACCGGACTGAAAGAAAAAAAAAAAAAAAAACCGAGTTGCAATTTACAATCGCTCGATAACGCGCGATGCTGCGCTCCGTCGACTTATCAGCTCCGCACGAGTTTCTTTTTGTTTTTTTTTTTTATATTTTCACAATTAAGTGCGTAATCTCGCGTACAGCTGGTAAAAGATGGCGCGTTGCGTCAATCCTGTGCGATATCGCGCGGCAAAAATTAGCCGGTAACACAATTCGATATCTCGTCAACAGATGATAACACGAGATCGCATGACCGTTACATCAGTAACATGTCCTTTCGACGAAGTGAGAGAAGGAGAGAGATTGTTTTCTGAGAATTTTGTTCATCTTTAAAGAGAGAGAGAGAGAGAGAGAGGAAGACAGCATCACAATATTTGCGCAAACTTTCTCTTGGCGCAATAAATTTGAAAAGCAGATTTAACAATTCGATCGCACATCTCGAGAAAAAACAAAACAAATAGATAAAGTTGCTTAAAAAAAGATCGCGTATATAAACATAGAATAATTTTAACATAAAATCGTACGTAATATAGAAAATAGTATTTTTATTTGATTTTACATATCGTGTCTAATCATCAGTGTTTTCATTATACACACACATGTACAGAGAGATCGTCCAGTTTTATCTCTAAAATAACTCTACGTATGTTTTATCAGTTTTTTTTTAACATGCTTTCCTCGAGTGTAATGCCCACAAAATTGCTTGAGCACGACGATTGTAATAAATTACATGATAACGCAGGAATATGTCTCGTTATTATCGCGAGATTTATTATTCTTGTCGAAATCACGCACATTTCGAGTGAATTACTTTTTGTGCGCGTTTAATTATGATTTTTCCATTACGTGAAAATCTTTTTTCTTTTTTTTGTCTCTTTCTTTCTCTCTCTCCTTATCTATATATTTTTTTTTACGTTTTCATTCTCAATTATTTATTTTTTATCATCACAACAAAATAGCGTGCCAAGATGCACTTACTGTCGTGCGGCAGAGTCGCGGCCATTTCCCGCTGCTGAACGTAGAGCAGGCCCACGGGGCCGACGAGTTTTGCCGGCATTGAGTGCAGCTGGGCCGCGCTCTCGCGATACACCGGATGGGCCGCATACAGAGATCTGCTATCCGCAGGAATCTCCTCCTGCAGAACTACCCCGCCCACCACCAGCACCATCCTGCAAAAAAACAGAGAAAAACAAACAACGATTGATTAAACACGAAAAGAAATAGAAAAAGGGAAAACAATTTTTATTGCGCTCGTGTCGTTGCGAGCGAATGATAATACGCGCATTGAAACGCGCGCTCGATACGCGTGGAATAAATTAATAATCCGCGGTACACACGACACAACTCGCGAGCGGTTGATAATTTATGCCGGCGGCGACTATTCCTCTTCGGTGAATTTCCATTTAATTTTTTTTTTTTTTTTTTTTTTTATGACGTAGGCAGTTCTACAAACGAACGACGACACCTGACCACTTCTTTCACGGATCGAAGTTCAAGTTCGTTCAGGAAGTGAAAAATTTTATATATTACGAAGAGAAATTGTGTTTAGACAAATTCTATTCCGCGCAATTAACACCGCGTTGTTTTGCTTGCAATGTAGAACGTACACATTTCTAGATATAAAAAATTTTCTTTCCGAACACAATGTGTCTCAGTTTTACACTGCTCGAAAATAATAATACCTCTACAACTTTCTCAAGTCTCATCTGTAAAAAATCTAGCGATCCGATTAACAAGCAGGTTGCGTCGTGGGTGAAAAAGAGAACACTTGTGCTCTCGAATAACTTGAACAATTTTTCGTGACTCGCCAGTTTGACAGATTACTTACGAAGGACCAGGTTAAAGTTCTTCCTTCGTCTAATCTGAACGTTTAAAGTTTTTCCTTGCGATAAATCAAGATTCAAGTGTCGAATCGTCTTTAGGTGTCGCAATATTGACGGAACAACATGTGGCGCAACGGCATCGTACGTAATTAGAGACAAATGCACGGGAGACGATTTATCTGCTCGTTACAAAACACATATACGGTACACAACAGAGATCTCGCGTGTGATAAAAACTGCAACGGGCGAGTCGCGCGCTTAAATATTCGTTTCACGTGTTCGAAATTCATTTGCGGCTAACTAAAAGCTAAGTGTATAATTGTCGCACACACAAGTGGCAACGAGCGTGTTAAAAGTTTCTCGTGCGCGCACGTCTCTCGCGAGACTTATCGAACGTGTAAATTCGCACGAGGTGCGCGCGCGTTCTTGTTCTTTTTCTTTTGTTCCTTGCAATAAAGTTTTTGGATGTATCTGGCCGCGCAATCGGGAGGCGTGAGCATTGTGTGACAAAGCTTGTTACTAGAGGATCGAGAGAGGAGATCCATATCCGCGCGCATATTGTTGGCACCGTTTTATCGCACGTATTAATCGCACTCGCGACAACAAATCTGAGGTGTACATATTCGGAGACTGTGCAAGTAGCCATTGTGTTACTCAATGAATGAGATCACGTCGCGAACCGGAGAGTTCTCGACGGATAATTAGAGGTTGATAGAAATAATTGAGAATAAAACAAATCATTAATTAATTAAAACGTATATATAGGTGTACGTAAAACCTAACACTGTCTTTGGCTCGGAGAGGCAATCAGCAAATGATCTCAAGTTCGTGTATCAAGAGAATAAAAATTAACATGTCGAAATGATCACAATATATACAACACCGCCTTTCTGTCTCATTATCGTCGTATATTTTAAATCCCGACCGTAAGAGGCCGACAGCAAGATGACGAGTTATTGCGAAGTTCTCTTGTATTAATTAATAGTAATAATAAAAAAAAAACTTAGAACAGGTTCTTCGAAGGAGCGAGCGTCGCGATTAAACACAAAATGATCTCTAATTATATCAACGGTCCTCTCGCGTGGAACAAAAGAAGCGCCGAGAAATATGAGCTTTTCGCAAAAACTCGTCGCGGCATCCTCGTGCGTGGCGACGACGACGACGCGATTCACGGCAAAAGACTGAAAATAGATCGCGACGATCCACACGTGTCCGCAGCTGCTTCTGCGAATGCAGAAACACGCGAGGACAAAGCTTTGTGTGTGATGCGCGCGTCTCTCTTTCACATATATTTCTTTTTTTTTCTTTTATTAAAAAAACATTAGAAATAAATAATTCGTATGAAGTTTCTTCGACGATTGTTGGCACGTGTAAGTGTGTACGAATATAATTAAGAAATCAAGTGTGTGTAACCGTAGATGAAAATCTCAATTACGGTAAATGTGTTGCAAATCTTTGCTTTTAATGTAATTTATATATAACGTTGCTTTATAATTTCAAATAGCTGTAATATTTCTACGTCTCTTCTCTCTTTTTTCTACTTCTCTCTCTCTCGTATACTCTTTACGCAGGTTCGAAGGAAATGAAGATTATACACAAACCAACGACCAATCATGCGGTGTCTGTTATTCATAAAGCTTCGTTACAGTGTAACATAGGTTTCGGCATTAAGAAGCGCGGTTATTGTATGCAATTCAGATGAGATAATTGCATGTTTTGTATTCGGTGAAAATATCGTGGTTTAATTATACGGCGCGCGACATGCGATGCATAACGTTTCGTTTCGTTGCGCTCGCTCTCTTTCTCTCTCTCTCTCTCTCTCGCGCGCGCGCTGGGAGCAATTTCGCGTTGCAATTTCTTCCGTAAACGACGTGCGTGACGAAAATCTTGCTCGACGGCGTAATTAGAATTTTTGGAGATTCGTATCATGCGGTTTTGCATTCTTCCCATTAGAGCGAACAAAAAATCTGTTTCTATTATTTTTCAAAACTCATCTTGAAAAAGAGATCTCGATTTATATATAATATTTTTATTTTTGCGCAAATTTGGTTTTTAATCAATTGCATATTTATTTATTTTTCGTGTCTCAGACAGGCATATATTTTCCATCTATGATAAACTGCCATCAAGAAGAACAGCGTTTAATTTTAATGACGCTGCGTTTAACGATGCATGCGAAATCGAGAATAGCCTGTTAAAATGAACGTACCTAATAAATACGCGACGCGTTACGAAATTCATCTCGTCATATCGTAATTGCCCCGCGTGGCGGGGAGAAAATGGCTTACGTGTAATTATTTGCATCGTATATATACTCTGTTCACATCTAATGAGAATATGAACGAGTGTGGCTGTCGCGTGTTCTGCGCGAATAGTCACGTGGAATAGTTTGCTTGCGCTGACGCAGCGACAATTCGCGCGAAACTGAGATTATCGCCTGACGTACACGCGTTCGACGACTGGACTGGGTTTGGGAAAAAATTATTTTATCTATTCTTCGATATAAAAAAGACGCGCTTGTGATCACGCCTCACTTCTGCTTACTTTCGCGAAACTTTATTATCACGCTTTAGACGAAATCCCATTTGTGTGTGTGAAAAAAAAAACTTACCTTTTTCAGAACAAAATCTAGCCACGTATGTTTCACACGCAGTTGCGTTTATTTAATATAAAATATTATATAGACACATGTGCGTGTCTCTTTGTTCTTTGCGCGAGTCTCGTTAATATATACAAGACTTGTGAAAAATCAGTCTCACATTGAAATTGTAAAAAGCACTTTTTTTTTTTTTACCGCGAGAAATTCTCAATGATGTTTCTCGTCATTACCGGTTATCGATCGATTCACAGATTATTCACTAATGTTGCGCGTCGCGCAATGTGTGATCCCGTGTGTGTTCGTTTCACTAATACACGAAGAAAGTCGCACGCAAAAATTGATCTTTGCAATTGCTTTCGCGATGTCTCACTCTATATAATCTTCGTTCTAGATCAAATTATCCGAAGCCGTTTGTTCGCAACGCGAACAACACTTCACTCGCACGCGCCGCGCGTACTTCCGATTCCTCGGCAAAAAACCGAATCGCGAGAAAGAGAATCTTGCACGCCGGTCTTGCGCCGATCCCACGAGAATCTAACCGAGCTGCATTCAGCTGCGACCAAAGTCTGTCGTCTTCGCGACGTTTTCATTCAGCCATCGTCGAACGTCCCGGGCAGCTCATTAACAAACCGTGTTAATTATGGCCTCGCTTATCAGCCGGCGCGGCGATTGGACGGCCGCGCGAACGCGGTGGGACGGGTTAAAATCCAAGCGGCACCAATCGGGGGTCGATCGGATATCGAGGCACCGTGAACAAGAAAATAACATGTTTGGCTCTGTCGGCACAGGCTTAGGAATCGAAATCGCGTCTCGATCCCCGCTGTTTTGTTTTTTTTTCTTTCTGCACCGGGCGAGGTCGATCAGCGCGGTTGTATCGTGAGAGTGCGCACGTTCACGGGGTGACCGAAAAACATTTGGATCATCGTGACTCGAATTTGCAAACAGCACCGTTGTCAATCATCCGTTAACCGCTGCTATCCGTATTATCTGTATATGGCGCGATGGTAAGAAATCAGTTTTTTATTTATTGCCCCGCAGAGAAAGATAATAACACAGAAGACAGAGATGTAACAAATTAAAGTACACAATAATAATAATAAATTGATAAAATAATTATATCGATAAGTTTGTTTTTTTTTACAAAACTTTTTTGCACAAAATAGAAAATTAAATTGAGTTTCTGATTGAATTTTTAACTTTCTACTTACCTTATATATGTTTTGACTTCGCGTCGTCTTAACTCGAAAATATAGAAGCGGGTCTGACGTGAAAGCTCTTTCCAAGTATAATTTTCAACTATCGCAAGTTGGAAATCTCGTCTTCTCCTATGCGACACCGAGTCGCGAGCACGCAATATTAGATGTACATATATCATCTGATATACCATCTGATCTGGCCGACGGTTTGATATACATATGCAGATGAGAGTGTTTGGGGAAGCGCACAATCGCGGCGTGTATTTTTACAATGCGGAGAATGTAGAAAAAAATTTCTGAACAATATTTGAATAAGCAGCTGCCGCTGCTTCAAACGAAGTTCGAATAAAATATGTTTTTCTTTAAGTTTGTTCGTTCGCACACGCATTATCTAAAAAAAAACTACTTTGTGCTCCTCTTTAGAATAATCGATTTAAATAAATACAATTCACACTGTTTTAATTACAATCGTTGTACATTATCTCAGATCGCGGCAATCTACTTATGTTAATTCTGTTTCTTTATGTTAATTATGTTTTTGTTTCATTCGG